AATTATTTATTTTGTATTATTTATAACTTAATTTATTTGTAGTATTCTTCCTAGATTATGCATAAAAGAAAAGGGAGAAAATTACCAATGTTGCTTTTTTTTCTTATTTTTGGTTAGTAAGGGGGCATGGTAGCAGATGCTATATTTTTATTAAACCGATTTTCTTCTGCAGTTATGTACTGCAGGCCAGGTCGCTGGGTTCATGGTCCAAAGTGTCTCCCTGGCCCCGCTGACCTTTATCCGTGCCTATAGAAAACCCCCAGGCTCTAAAGACCTTCGGTCTGTGCTGTTGTTACTGCCTAAGACCTTACCTAAACACAGTGCACACTCCCACATGCCCAGAATGCAACACCAACAGGTCATATCGAGCAACTTGGAACTACTCTGTTTCCCATTCATTTATTTTGGGTTTTAACACGGTTGGGTCCCTGAGCTGTCTGTCATTTTGACCCCAGCGATGATTGGCTGGAGATTCACTGTGGCCTGACCAGGACTGGTCTGTTGCCAGGCCCCAAGGCGCATCTGCTATGGTCGTGACTCATGTAGCTCTGGCCTGGAATCAGTGTTTTCTTTGTTTTAAATACGTGGAATTCGTCCACTGACTTTCAGACTCAACCTGTTGAGCCAGCTCCAGAGATCGCTGTTCGCAAACACGTTTTATCCAGAATCTTGTATTCCACTTTAAAACATTTTAGTGATAACGAAAACTTTCAGCAGATTTTAACACATAAATGTGAATTTTCTCTATGTCTTATGCATTGTGTTGCTCATGACGTCAATGCTGTGGTGAATGAATATCTTACATTTCTTACGGTGCTTATTTTTCTTATCTGTTGGTCTGATCAGTTCTGACTATAATTATCATGCTTAATGTTGTTGTTTGGTTTTTTTTTACCGACATCACATTAGGGCTTCATTAGGCATCTGTCAGTATCAGTGATGTCGGTGTTTCCATAAATGGCCTCCGTTTATTCTTTTATTTTTTTTCCACAAGCGTCCTGTTTTGTAATTAAATCCAATCCTTTGGTATCTCTTAATCAGGGTGGTCGTTTTTGATTAGTTTAACATCCTTCAAGCAGCTTCCAGGTACTGATAAAGTCAGTCTTTCTGTGGTTTTGCTTGTTAAACTAATCTGCAAATTGTTGTTGCTGTGGATTTTACATCCGTAACCTTTTTATAGTGGAAAAAAGTTCCTGCACTTTCTCAAGAACTACGCATCACCCACAAACAAATGGATGTGTGTTCAGAGAATAGGAATTTGATCCTGTATCTGCATTACTGGCAGGTCATTACGGGACTTGGCCTTTTCTATCCAACCTTTCCTGTGAAAGCTTTGCTGTGTTAAAACAGATATTTACAGTAATATCTGTTTTGTTGAAATCAGGTAGCCTTGTCTGCGTATTTGAAGGGGAGGACGCTAGCAGGGAGGGAAGAGTAAACCTCTGTGTGAGAGACAAAGGAATGTGGCAGTTGGTTTCCATTCACGTCAGACGTTGCATAAGAGAGGTCCGACTTGTGCATCATCAGAATCCACATGGTCACACAGCGCCGCGGACCGCAGTCGTGATTACATATCGCCTGTTTAGTAAAAGAAGGGTCTATTTTAGGTTAACAAGCTCTGCCTCCTCTAACTTTTATCACCGATTCGCTAAACGTTTTGTTCCCACAAGCGATTGTCGAGACCAAGCGCTCAAATGATGTTTTCTATTTTCAGTGACCACTTGGCTCCAATAGTTAGAAACAAATTAGTGGAAAGTTCCTCAAGCATGGGATTTCCATTATAGCGACACACTGTTTTCTCATGATTACATGTAACACTTTAAACAGCAATATGACACTGTGATAGACCACATAAAAATGTGATTTCAGTGTTTATGATGTCCTGTAATACGTTATTATAAAATTTCTTTTATTTTTCATCATTCAAATTCAAATGACAGCAAAATGATGGAACAAGGAATGAAGAGAATGAAACTATTAGCAGTTTGAAGAACTTCCCGAAATGACAGTAAACACAAGCAGAAAATGACCAAGAATTGGATGCAAATTTGCTGCACATTTTGCAATATTTCAAACTTTTTTTTAAATCTTCCTGAGACCTGTAGACTTTTGATAATGAGCTAGATATAACATACCGACCACAGCCCCAACACAAACTACCCCCACGTCTGATTATATATCCCCTTCTTACCTCTTGCTTACACAGTGACTGGTTAAGCTGCTCATTTATTTGTTCCTGCTTACTCACACTAAGACAGACACCCATGCCCCCCCCCCTTTTTTTTTTATTTTTTAAACGCTTTCTGTAGTCTTTATGGTGAGGCATGCTGATACTATTATTAGCATCTTAAGAACAGAGTCTGTGCCCTGTTCTGGTCTCTGTCTCGCTGTCTCTCTCCCGTCTTCCCCAGACTCCTCACAGCTGGTATCGGGGCCAGAGCCAGACTCCGTGTGCACCCATAATGTGGTATGCAGGATGTGGGTGCAGAAAGGTGCCTATCCTGCTAGCTGTCTCTTAAAATTTCTATTTTTTTTAATTTTTTTTTTTTGGATCATATAAGGGTTAACCATAAACAAGTACTACATATTCCTTACACACTCTGACAGTCTCATCTTGCTCTTAAAACTGCATTCCCCAACTTAAGGCATGCACATAGTGCTACAGAATCCCATAGATTTGTGTCCATGCATGAATCTATACTATAGCCGGGCACATGAAGTTTTGTCTGAGGAGACGGAGCAAAAACAGACAGTAAAGGAGTGAGGCGGTGAAATGCGCAGAGAGAGAATAAGAGGGCTCATCTGTTGTAAGGCAGTAATTAGAGGGAAGAACAGCGAGGGAATGATAGCTTAGTAACACTAGTTGTAATCTTCTCATGAATGGAACACCTTCCACTTGTCTGTGTTCATTTACACTAGCACATTTTATACTTAAGTGTTGTCGCTTCAGCTCTTTATTGATAATTTAATTAGAATTTATATCATACATGTGCTTTAAAAAAAATCTCAAATAAGAAATGCAAAGAAACCTCCAGATGTTTTTTACAGATCTCCTTTTGGCTTTTAAGCAGGCTTTGTTTGATTGGCTCACTGGTTCTTCAGCTTTTACAGCATGTCTGAACTCGCCTGACTGCTGCCAGCCTATCATAAATTGACTCAGTTGAAGTTCAGAATGAACAGGAGGAATGTTGCACGGCATGCAAGACAATTAAAGTGAACGAAGGTTTTAATGGTTATTTTAACACCGAAATAAACGATTTTTACCTACACTTGCGAGGCTTTTCATCCACAATTTTCAATGTCGGCAGATGAGTTTGAGCATTTAAAATGCATATATTGGTTTTAGTTATATTTGCACCAACTTATTTTGTGAAAGTCGACAACTTTAAGCATACATATGCAGTATCACTGTTGTAAACCCAGAAACGGTCATGCTTGTGTAAATCCGTTGTGTTACAGCGGGTATATAAAGTCTAGCGACACCTTTTTATTGTGTTTGTCGTTTACCTGCGGACCACCTGTTGCTACATTGTAACTGCAATTCTGGGGAAAGGCTGAACCACGTCCACATGGGCAGACACTGACGTCACCACACCCCACCCCTTTTGCACGTTCTTCCCCTCTGTGATTGGACGAGAGCAATAGAGGAGGAGCGCCTTTCTGTAAAGTGTGCTCGCAAAATTTTTTTCTCTACCCTACAGTGAGTCACAGCTTCTCATAAGTCCCAACGTAGTGTTTTTACAGGCAGACGACAGCTTACCAGTATTAAGGAGAGACTCTGACATCTCTCTTCATGTTTTAAGCTATGGTCAGAGACTCTTACTCCTTTTCTGGAGATAAGAAGGTCATGCACCCTCAGAAAAACTCTAAAACCGGACTAAGTTGCAAAATGGTGCTCCAGGCAGTTGGAAAAGTACTAAGGTAAAACTTATATTTGAACTTAAAAGTGTTGTATCTGCTATTCACTTGAGTGTCTCCCCTGCGCTGTTGCTTTTAATGAAGTCGAAGCAGTGGGTTGTTTTAGTGTCGTAATGCTGCTTTTATCGAAGACGTAAAAACCCGCGTCGACTTTGCCTGTTGTTTTCTCCGACGTCATATTTCACCGCCTTCTGATTACAGCAGCGCTAACAGTTAAATATGGTTTGTTTTTTAATTTGTTGTTTTTGTATCTAAAGCTAGAAAGTCTCTAATCTGTGGTTGAATCAAGATAAACTTGCTGCCTCTTGTCTGCAGTAATTACACAAGTATTGGGCTCCTGTGATTCTGGGGTCAGTGCAAATTATCAGGATCACCTGAAAACTAATAATTCCTTGTCGCTGCAGCTCTTAGCAAGACTCAACAAGAGCAGGAGAAATGCGACACTATCTTCTCATCCAGTCTAATCAATTATTAAAGACGCCTGTAGTATTTTAACATACTTAATTGTGTTAGTCACAGAAAATAATTACCCCCTTTTTTCGCTTAAAGTAAAAATGAATAAAAGCTCAAATATTTGCCAAGGTTATGTGTAATTAGCTTTTTAATTCATAAAATATCTACCTGATATCTACAGGTCATAATATGAAGGCGCAGACTTAATACCTGAGGAATGCCTGACCCCAATATATGGGTTAACAGTGTGTTTGTGTGTCATACAACGTGATAGAGCTACCCCAGTTATAGAGAATAAATGTGTCTCTACCCTGTTTGTGTCAGAGGCCCACAGTCATTATGACTGTGTTCCTCCAGGGGACAGACAGTCATGTTAATGCTGCGATGAAGGTTCCTGTTACTTTTCAAGTCTTCGGCCAGGTGTGCTTCTCTTCAAGCAGCAGCCCAAAGGGCACATGCCTCACATCCTGTGGTGTTTTGTGAAGATGTGGAGAGGGATAGTGAGGGGACTCTCCACTATTGTAGGTTCGCTTAATATATTCTAGGCTGGATATTAAGAGCAGCATCAGAAAGTGTTGTTGTACAGTATGTTGTCTTTTGCAAGAACAAGTTTTTCTGCTCCGTCTTTCTCGCGAACTCAACCCCCGTGCTCAAGAAATGTGCTGATCACCGAGAAACTACAGCCTTAATGTATTTGCGGCGGGGGGATGGTTTCAGAAATCTTCAATAAAACCTAAATAAAATGACCTTGTTTGAGTTAACAAAGACACAAAGTTTGGTTAAAACAAAAGCTATAACAAGCTCCAAGGTGCCACCGACCTTATATAATCCTATTTCCTCCTTCAGTCACTGATTCAAAGCCCTTGACTTAGACGCTGTTGTGAGTAGAGGTTAGACAAAAGATTACTAAGATGGCTTTTAGGTATTTATGTCCTACCCGTTCTCGTTGTTCTACAAGTAGATTGATGGTTGGTGATGATTGGTGTTGAGAAATTGTGATTTATTTCAGTATGTTGCTTCCTATTGTGTTAAATCAATTCAAGATTACACAAACCCTTTTCCTGTTACACATGTGTTGTTATGATGATGAGGCTTGAATGTGGTGCTCACAGGGGTTCTTTGCATATTTTGGTAGACTGAGAGCCAGTAAATGGGATGTTTGATAGGATAACAAGGAGAAGTTGCTAGAACAGGGCTAGTAAATAGAGAGTGTGTGTGTACATTTACATATGTTTAGGTCTGCACCCTGGCTACAGTCCTCATTTACTCATTTGTGAGGCTGCTTTCAGCCCCAGTAAAGCCGTTGATTAAGTGGTGACAGCTGCACTGTTGTAGTTTTTTGTTTTCTTGTCTAAAAACTAAAATTGGCAAAACATTAAAACTATACTTAACTCTGAATAAGGCAGTACTGACTTAACAAGGATGAACCTCAGGTTTAGTTGATCCTTAAGTCAGTCTCTTTTGTAAGCTCTGCAATGGCTGCTGTGGTGGAGCTTTGGTGCGCTCAGACTGCTTGCTTTTTTCCCTCTTTGTGGTTTTTCAGGGCAGGGTGCCATTGGGTCTATTTAATTTAAGTCCTGAAATAGATCAGCAGACTTGGAGAAAGCTGCTTATTTAACAAAATAGCAGAGTTCATTCACTCTGTTCTGGCCTTATCATTAAATTTCAGTATTATCCCGAGTTTTATCACACCTCTTTTATTTTTTTTCTTAAAACTTGACTAGTATAATAATGGGCTTAGAAATGACAAAATAAATTAGAGATGCACTTCAATATATGATTTGATCCTTAAACTATCACCTGTGTTTAAGGTCTGGGCACATAGTAAGGCTTTATTTCCTCGCTGTATGACCTCCAGTGGATGCCAGCGCTGATTTGTTTTTTTGGTTGTTGTTGTTTTACTTTTTACTTTATATTTATATTTTGTTTAATGTGCCAGTGCATTTGATTTTTTTTTTATCAGTCAGATCAAAGCTCTTCATATAGAAAGCAGCTGTCTTAAAGAAAATGGTAAAAAATTGTCAGTGTCACCCGACCAGATTGCATCAAAGCGTCCATATGCCACTCGTTGGATACCCCTGTTATCCAAAAAGCCGATTCAAGCAACAGTTGTGTAATATTTTGCTCGCCAGGAGCCAGAGGCTCAAGAGGAACATGTGTTCAGCTCACAGAAAGAACCAGTAAAAACTGAAAATGTTGTTTGTTTTTCTTTTTAAAGCATTAATGTCAGTGATTTGGTGATATGGAGATGATTAACTATGGAAAGAAGAAGTCGGCATGTTCTGAATACTCCTGAAGCGGTTTAGTCGCCAGTTTATGGTGTTAGAGAAACTACTGTAGTTAATTCTCCAAGATGGTGCGGTAATGTAGCCCCATCCGATGGCACGATTAATTGGAACCAGATTCTGGTAATGAGATGGACTTGCTTTTGGCGTACCTGCAAGAGGTTCGGTTAGACGAGCCTTTTGTAAGAACCAAGCGTATTCAGGATTTATTCGGCCCACAGTCAGAAAATAATCAGAAGTTAACATTTGCACGTCATGTATATGCATGTTTGGCTTGGTTGATGCTCACATGTCTACACAGTCGTTCAGACCAGATAGAACTTGCTTCTTCTAGTTTTTCTTTGGTGGGATCAGGCTCATGACACAGCTGTTGTCACCAGCTGGGTTGTCTGTGAAAAGGAAAAGGGGGCTACTGCTAGGGGTGTGTGTCTGTGTGCGACACACACTGTGCATTTGCTCTGTACTTTTGCTCTTGTACAAGAGGAAAGGTAGTGAGAGAAGATGGCTTGATGGTGGGGGAGGTGGCATTGCTGGGAAAAGTGAAAGGGTGAGAGTGGATAACGGATGGAGTTGAACAGCTGTCGGGTCAGTTACTCCACAGCTCTGCAGCACTGAACTTTGCCTAACCTGTATAACAGCCCTATTTCCTTTTTGTTTTCATTGCAGATAAACACCAGCAGGTGTTTCTTCCTGCCTCTCGTCATCCACTCGTATATAAATCGGGTTTAAATGTATCTCTCGATTACAAGGCCATATCGCAGACCTGCTTCTGCTGGTGCCAGGCACACGTTCCTTTACTCCCCCACACTCCTGACTTCTGGGTTGCCCTGATCTGCCCCTGATCTGGCGAGGAGAAAGAGGCATCTGATGCCTTTTATGGCAAAAACTTGCCTTGGAGAACATTACCAATCAGAAAGTTGTGTGAAGGGAGGAGTGCTGGCAAAGAGAAAGTTTTCTTTATCCTAAAATAAACTAATGGCTACAGACCATCACCTCCCCTTATCCTCAAATATTCGTAAGAACTGGAGGAGGCAATTGTGTGGGAAAATTATGAAATTACAAAAAGAAAGGCAGGAAATGGCTCAGTGAAACAATGTTTTCAAAAGGATCCTTTCACAGGACTTGACCAGTTGTTCTGAAAGGCTTAGCAAAACCTTTGAAAAGTTGTGAGAGCTTATGGTATCCAAAGATGAAGCTCTTTCGTCGAGAAAAGCTTTTTCACGTGATAGAACATGTAGCTTACAGCGCAAAACCACACAGACCACATGAATCTGTCTGTGCCCTCATGAGAGGGAAGGGGGGGTATTTTCTGTTTGTTTTGGCTAGAGGAAGGAAGCAGATGGCGATAAGGAGATATGAAAAAAAAACAAGCACTTGAAGGAGCTTTAAATGTGAAAAAACGATTGGCAATTAAAATGCGACTCGGTACAGTTCATAGTGTAGGGTAAATTGAAAGCTTATTGGGCAGGACAATCAAGAGAAAGTCTAGATAGTTGCAGCTTACAGTTGCACTGTACCTACGTCGTAGATTCAAAGTACAGTGCAAATGGTGCTGTGAGGAGAGAAGGATGGGAGGAAAGGACAGAAAGAGATGCCTTAAGACGGATGAGTGGAGCAACTGGTGAAAGTAGCCTGTCATTAATAATTAACCATCAGCGTGTAATCTCCAGTGTCTTTGTGGTTTTACTTTTGTTTTTTCTAAATGATGCCAAAACGAGCTCAGGTACTGCCTGACGGAAACATCCGAATAATTTCCCAACAAACAAGAACCTTTAGCACCTTTGCAACCTTTGCTGTGTGTCTGCGAGTGTGACTATGCAAGTGTGAGTCTTTCAGTGTTTTCAGACGCATCCAGAAGACGGTTTCCAGCTAAGCATTTGTCTGACAGTTAAATTAGGAGACGGTGAACATGTAAGGAAATGGGGGCGGAGGTGTCTTAAACATTTACAAAGTAAAAAGCTCCAGGGCTCTGTATCTGTCTGAATTATGTTGACATGCCTTTCCTTGTTTGCTGAGGTGGAAAGCTGGGCGATGCTTCCTGGAGAACGGAATTAAACAGTGAAAGGCTTTTGAACACGGAGCTCTGGCCAAGAGGCCTCGTGCTTTACAGTCCAGTCGTGTTTTGAAAGTGTTTATTAGTTCCCATGGATATCAGCTGGGCCTGTGTTGATCTTCCCTCCTTGCTCCATTCCTTTCTACTTCTGCCTGCTCTCTTTTGCTCTTCTTCTATGAATTTAATACCCCTTTTTCATGCAGAAAAACAAGCCAATTAACTTTCCTCCTGTAAACTCCAGTGGGGTGAGCTGTGAACAGGAAGTAAAGGAGAGAAGGCAAGAGCCGAGAACACATTGATGGAGGTTGTGGAGAAACGAGGATGAGGGGAATTTGCAATAAGTTCAAAAAGGCTGGAAATGAAGGTCAGCAGTAGCACAATAAATTTAAGGAGCAAACTGAACCTCCTTCAGCAAACCAAAACAGCGTAGCACTGGCAAGTAGGAGCGAAATAAAGACGCGTGTATAATTCAAGAAGAATAATAGTCTTTACAGGGTGTGGAAAGGCTTGAATGGAATAGCAGATTAAGCTGGTTATTATTAGTCCTAACTTTTAAAATTGTGAAAAAGGAAGATGGGTGGACAGTTGATTGCGCAAAGTCTGCTGCTTGTTAAGATTTTCAACCTTTAACCCAGGAAGGCAGTGCCTTCACTGAGCAGGAGCTGGGGGAATAAAGGGCTCAGCCCTGGGAACTCTGGCAGAGTGCAATATCACATTGCAGCGCGAAAACTAACAGTGGAAGTACAAGGAGCTGGAGATGGCTGCCTTTATAGAAGCTATTCTACAAACATTCGGTATTGAGCCAGAGTTGGAGGATAGGTACAGTAACAAAGGGCTCTTTTGTTTGGTCTCTTTAGGCTGGTGTTAATCAAACGATGGAAGAGTCACAGAACGTTTGTGTTTCGTAACTGATATTTTTGCAATCTGTTATGCATTGGATGCATACCAGTTATTTTATGCTGACTTCCCTGTTTATCAGTGGAATTTTACTGAAGTACTGTTTTGTTTCTATATTTACTGTTGGCTTATCATTTGACCAGCTCATCTTGAAAGACTGGTTGTAGAATATATGTGGGGGGTTTTTCAGCAGCCTGAACAACTTTTATTCTTTACGGACTCAAACTAAACTGTCGTTTTACAGCTGGCATAAATCTCAGGCACTTGTAAATTTCTTCTCCCGCTTCGCTTTATCTTGTATTTGCCTTATCGGCACCCTTATCATTTTATTAATCTGCCCTCTTGTCTTCTATATTCTAGGAAGTCCAAAACGAAGCCAAATGGAAAGAAGCCACCAGCAGAAGAGAAGAAACAGTACTTGGAACCAGAGTTCACGAAAGTCCGCGTGGTGGACTTCGACCTTAAGGAGTTGGTGGTGCTGCCCAGAGAGATAGATCTCAACGAATGGCTAGCCAGCAACAGTGAGTGCCTTTGACTGTGGTAGTCGTGACAAATGTGAACAATAGAGTTGGACACTTGTAGATGTTCAGCATTTAAAAGACATTTAGTGAGGTCCGTATTCATTGATCGAGCTTGGTGTTTAC